ACGATCTGACTTAATAAGCTCATTGACTAGGACCTGGAAGGTTATTGATGATCTTACCCAGAACACTTTAGATATGGAATGTCTGCGTTTCAGTTATAAGCTAAAACAAGTAATAAAGAGCCAGAAATCACGACTTTCTACCTCCAATTGTATCTTTCCAAAAGAGATTTCTGCCCAGGTAATGGCTGAGACTTTGCCCCTGAGAGAGGCTCCTGAAGCCCCTAGTCTAAATTCACCATGCAGGAGTAGGAGCCCCCTTCTGGTAACAGTTGTGCGTTCAGATACAAGGCAGCGTAGTTCAAGTTGGCACCCGAGAAACGATATATACACAGATTTTGCTGAACCACCTCTCTTTGTCCCATGGCAGGATAAATTTAGCAGTGAAAGAAATGCGGCAAAAGTCAAAAGCCAGGGCCGTGACTATGGTATTCCTTTACATCTCAGCAAGTTAAAATACGATGATAAACTAAAAGAATCCCGGGGGGATATTTCGGTCATTCTAAATGAATATGCTGAGTTCAACAGGGTGATCTTGAACAATATACATGTGGGTAACAAAGGAAGAGGTCAGAGCACTACCTCAGAAGAGTGTGCAGGCAAAAGGAAAAAATGCACACATTTCCCCAAAAGAACAGCCTCCTATGAGAACATGATTAGTGACTTATGCAACACTCTGCACTACAGACTGAAAAGTGTTGTTAAAGAGGCTTGCAAAAATGCGTGTATGTTCTACCTAGTTGAAACAGAAGATGACCCTTTCTTTGTGAGAATGAAGGTAATGTGGCAATTTCTAAATCTTCCTAGTTTGTTTAAAATTGTGAGTGAACTTTGTGCTGCTTATAAGGTTGAACTGGTACCAGTGGCTTGAGTCAGGTATGGCACTGGGGGGGGGGGGGTCTCTATGCAGGCTTCCTCGCACGATTTGGCCAATGCTTCTTAATGCTGACCGGCAGTATCTTCCTGCTGTGTTGGTCCTAGGGGATTTCAGTCCTGATCAGTAACACCCTCTGCTACTTCATCTTGGCTCTCTGGAGCCATAATTCAAACCAAATTATGCCAAAGTGTGTGGTAGTTTAGTGATGCATAAACAGAGGGAACTAGGATCAGCGATCACTGATTAATTTTCACTGGTGAGCAAAGAAAAGAGGTGGACTGCAGGCATTAAAGGCTAATCCAGCACCTCAGATTTTTTTCTGCTCATAATAGCAAAGAAAATTGGCAAACCACACAAAACCACGTGCCAGATGACTACGGTTTGCATTTGCCAGGCCTGTATCATGGCCGCAGTTTGTGTATGCCTCATAATTTTTTAAAAATGTTTATACTGGGAAGAATGTGAGGCAGCCTTTGCTCTGCCTTTGTCATGGTTTTGCACAGTTTAGGAATAGTCCTGGCTCCTGGATTGTCCCGGAGTCCCAGGTGGCTTGAAATGCCTTTTTTCATTTGCATTTGGCACAACTATGACTGTTTCTGATTTAGGTCTTGCCTACTTGCTCCGGTGACGTAGTTCATCCAAATGGGGCCACTCTTGGAGACCCCACACACATTTCAGGTGGTGTAAATTATGGTTGCCAACTATTTGGGGCAGTTAGCCATCGAGAGCACCTTGTACCAGTGTTCCATAGACTGTACTGGTGTCTTCCGTTTGCTTTTGATCACACTTCAAGACATTGATGATGGTGCTTTTTAAAAAAACCTTACAGTACATGGTTTGATTCCTGTTTAACCTGAGAAACCGGCCTCTCTCACCGTGCCTGATTGTGACAGCCGAGTTTAGCCGAGAGTCCCGAGTGTTTTGAACATCTGCATGCTACTGAAAGGTGGTTTTCAGTGGGGGTCTTTGACACTGGAATTTGTTTCCCCAATTAGGCTATATCTATACTAGAGTTTTTTGGGGAAATCTCTCAGTTTCAGCTGCATTGGAAGTAGCAGCGTTGGAGAGCTAGTATAGACAGTCACTGGCATCTTTACCACTGTTGTTGTCTATACCGGCTCTGAACTGGTCTAGAAAACAGGGTGGTAAAAACAATGGTGTGTGTCAATGCCTTCTCTGTGCTCCCAGTTGTGCCTTTTCTGACACACACACAAAAAAGGGGGGGGGCAGAAAAACACAGTTTTCCACAAGAAAATTTCAGTTTTGCAGGGGAAAAAAGGAGAAAGGAGACTTTTTTCCCATTGGGAAGATCAAAATAAGGGCTCCCCAGCTGCCTGGCAGCAAGGCTCTGGTCAAGCGCACTTTCTGCCTGTGAAATCGACAAAAGCTTTCCTGGAGGGCTGCCAGGCTGTGTCACTTGGAGACTCTCTCCAGCTCCTGCAGGCAGGCTGGAAGGCTCTTGTGAATTTCAAAAGTGTAGTTGACAAGTGTCTTGCAAGCAGGCAGACAGGAAGCCAAACAGTGCTCCCGAAACAAAAGATTTCCTGAAAACCCTTCCCGTGAAAATTTTTGCATTTTTGGCCTTTTGTCCCAGTGTGGGACAAAAGAAAAATTTCAAACATGCAACATTTTATGCAGGAAGGTATATCTGTTTTCCGGCCAACTCTAGTAGACACAGCCTTAGTCTGACTGAACTCCAGCCTGACTTCCAGAGCGTGGTGGAAAGCCCATCTGCTTACTCATGCTTTTCTATGTAGTTGATTGACTGGGTGCATTTTTTTTTTTTTTTAACCTCAGCAACTTAATTCTGCGGTAGAGTTTGTCTGTAAAGGGAACTTTAAAAAATGTAAAATTAAATGAGCTAGCACGCTGTCTCGGTACTGGGTCATCTACTCTCTGCATTTTGGCTGCAGCGGACTTTCCCGAGAGCACATGTAATACATAGATCGAGATGTTTATCTAACCAAGAGTATATTAGAGTACGAAAATAGATTTTGCTGTGCTGATGAGTTGAGATGAGAGAGGTGCTGGCCATTCTGAATCTCTCCTCACTGCAAACTGGTTGGCACGGGAGAGTCCATTTCAAAATGCTTGCCATTTTTTTTTCCTTCTTTCTTTTCCTGTGTGGTGGTTGAGTAAGTGATCAATTTATTTTTAAAGTTTTGTGTTTGATATTTAGAGTAAGTTGAATTTTCAGATAATTAGATTATTTTAGAAACCAAATAATAACAGAAATACACCTTTGGCCAGTGGTTCTCAGACTTTTGTACTGGTGACCTCTTTCACATAGCAAGCCTCTGAGTGTGACCCCCCCCCCCTTATAAATTAAAAACACTTTTTTATATATTTAACACCACTATAAATGCTGAGTGCAAAGCGGGGTTCGGGGTGGAGGCAGACAGCTCGCGACACCCATATAATAACCTTGCAACCTCCTAAAGGGGTCCCAACCCCCAGTTTCAGAACCCCTGCCTTAGGCATATTGATAAAATAGCTTACTCTTTCCAGTCCTGAGTGGTACTCTCATCAAACAAGCCTGAACTATATAAGGTCAAACTTTATATAAATTTGTTTGCAGAATTGGGGAAAAAACCCATCTAAACAAGACAAGATTTATTTTTCATGTTGGGCTTTAGCATAACCAGAGTCTGAATATCCAGGTTATTTGCAGATAAATCATAGCTTTCATACTCAACTGGAAATCATATTAAATGTTTTTGGTTTTCGGTTATCTGTTTTTGGTAAGGTGTAAAAATGTTGGCCATACAAACATTCTTACTTTGTTGCGATGATTTATTTGTGTTTCAGAGCTTATTGAAGAAAGGTGGCCACGCTGAAATTGAACCTCTGAATTTCTGTAAAGCACAACACCTGGAGACAGACAGACTGATTGTCATTATTAGAAATGAGGACATATCTTTGCATATTCATAAAGTAGGTTCAGAAGTATCTTTCTTGTGTCAAAACTGGAAATGCCCTTTCTAAATACGACAGTCCATTTTTAAACAGGTTTCTAATTTTGCACCTATCCAGAGTTTTATCTTTAATTGTTCACATCTGCATACCTATTGGTGAGGTCCTAAAGATGTCGCAGTTTAAAGCTAACCTAATACATACGCAGGGTCCATGGCTAAGGAGTTGTAAAAACCACAAGAACAGAGGGCCCATTTCTTTCACTGCTGTTGCTCCAGTTCAGATCACAAAATAGCTAGCGACCTCAGAAGTCCGTACAAACCAGGCAAGGCACCAGTCTGGGTTGTCTGGTTTAACTTTTCCAAGTCTGCGCAGTAAACTAGTTTGAGCCAGGGTTAGAACGCAGGAATTTCTGGCTCGTATGCCCCTGTTGAGATCCCCATCAGCATTCCAGCAGCACCAATCACTGCAGTGTCTAAGTGCTGTCCACAAGGTATAAAACCCAGGCGAGGCTTTCATTGAACTCACTTGGCACTGAATAGACACAGGAATTGCCACTTTCTGAAATTATGCTATAATTACACTATGGCAGAGTGTCATTTAGAATAATTCTGTGGAGCCTGTGTGGTAATTGTAAATCCTGCATTTCTTCAGTTTTACCTGTGAGCCTATCCCAGTAGTTGCTAATTCTAAGATGTGACCAGAGACTATTTATCAAAGTACCCCTTTCTGTCCCCAGCTCCAGCTTTGTCTTTTTTTTAACTTGCGTGTTTTAAGACGTACTAGAGTTCACTGTACCCTGTGACCCAGTTTTGATTTCTCTACCTGGTCTCATGTCTACATTACACACTAAGCCCAGGTCTTTGGACTCACTGTTCTCAAGCCCATGCTTACGCCGCTACACTGCACTGTAAACCTGGGTTTAAAATGGCTGGACCCGGGTCTCATGGCCGAGCTAACGTGTCCGTACTGCACTATGCAGACTTTCTGACTCCGATCTGTGGCTTGGACTGTGTCCACTCTGCAAGACAATACAACTTGGACCTGAGTCGCAGCAAGACTTGGGCTCTGACACATCCCCTAAGCAGGCTCTTTGGACCTCGGTTCTGAGTGCTTGCTGACCTGAGTCAGATGGCTTTGTGTCTTGTCTGTGGACAGAAGGAGGTCTCGGGCTCCAGTCAGACCCTGGGCTGAGCATGCAGTGTAGACGTACCCATAGTCCTTGAATTGCTGCCAGTGTGCTGGGAGCAGTGTGATGTGTTCAGCCCCGTGGCTCAGCGTGAGAGAGAAGTGCCTCACAGCGATCACCACTGGATTCATAAAAAGAGGGCTCAGAGGCTCCTGCAGAGTCCCACTGAGTCATCTACAGCTTGGCGGGGCTGTGCTGTGGAGACTTGAGGATGGAGTGCGTAAAACAGGAGGAAATGGGCAACATCCTCAGGACTCCAGCAGGGACGCCTGTCTACTGGAAGAAGAAAGAATGAGAGAGGTTCCTGGTTAGGTGTGTGAAGTCTGACCCATTAAAAGGTACATATTGTACATGAAGAATGTTTTTGCCTTTAACAGATCCCTTCCTTGCTGAGATTAAAGCATTGCCCAAATGTAACCTTTGCTGGAGTGGACAGCCCAGAGGACGTAACTGATCACACTTATCAGGAGCTGTTTCACATGGGGGGGTTTGTGGTCTCTGATGATGAAGTGTTAGAAACTGTAACTTTAGGTGAGTCTAATTACCCCCTCCCTCTTTATACCCATGAAAATCATTGGTCTTTGTTGCAAGAGGATGATATTGCAGTACTGTAATAACTGTGACTTAAATACAGCGCAGGCTTAGGATGGATCTAGGGAAACACGTGGCTCTAGAAGGCTGTGGCATTGTCAGGAGCCTCTCGAGAGATGTTGGTTGGTAGCAGATGCCAGTATTCCCAAAGCCATTCAGGATGGAGCATTTCCCCCCAGAAGAGAGAACTTTTTTCTTTCTGTGTATTGAATATAATGCTTGTGAAAGGCATTGGATTGGCTTCCCTCTGTCCACAAAATGGGCACCATCGCCAGCTTTCCTGAACCCTAACAATGCGAGATCATCTCTAGGGCTGAGAGCGTAGTTCAGTGTCCATGGCCCTTCATGGGCATTAAGAAAGGGATAGATAATAAAACAGAAAATATCATGTTGCCTCTATATAAATCCATGATACGCCCACCTCTTGAATACTGCGTGCAGATGTGGTCGCCCCATCTCAAAAAAGATATACTGGAATTGGAAAAGGTTCAGAAAAGGGCAACAAAAATGATTAGGGGTATGGAACAGCTTCCATATGAGGGGAGATTAATAAGCCTGGGACTTTTCAGCTTGGAAAAGAGACGACTAAGGGGGGATATGATAGAGGTCTTTAAAATCATGACTGCTGTGGAGAAAGTAAATAAGGAAACGTTATTTACTCCTCCTCATAATACAAGAACTAGGGGTCACCAAATGAAATTAATAGGCAGCGGGCTTAAAACAAAAGGAAGTGTTTCTTCACACAATGCGCAGTCAACCTGTGGAACTCTTTGCCAGAGGATGTTGTGAAGGCCAAGACTAGAACAGGGTTCAAAAAAGAACTAGATAAGTTCATGGAGGATAAGTCCATCAATGGCTATTTGCCAGGATGGACAGGGATGGTGTCCCTATCCTCTGTTTGCCAGAAGCTGGGAATGGGCGACAGGAGATGAATCACTTGATGATGACCTGTTCTGTTCATTTCCTCTGGGGCACCCGGCACTGGCCACTGTCAGAAGACGGGATACTGGGCTAGGTGGACCTTTGGTCTGACCCAGTATGGCCGTTCTTATGACAGTTGTGGTGTCAGTTCATTCCAGTGAGAATGGGAGTGTTTTGTGGTATGAACATCTGTACACTAGAAACTAGGCAGAGATTCCCACTAATTGATTTTACATAGGCCAAAGGACAGTAGTTAGTGGGTAACATCTTTTGGCCAATATCAAACTTCTCTGGATCCACTGGCGAGTTGGAGATGAAAGATGCCTCTGTTCTAATAACCCCTTGAACTCTCACTGAAAATAATACAAAACTCTTTGACTTTTTGGCCTTCAGATTGCTCTTTAAGAACATGATGATGTGCTTTTTATATGTAGTAATGCTTGGACATCTGGTTTTCTGACACCACCTGATTCTCAGACTCGATACTGAAATATTTTATTCCCACAGGTCAGCTGAAGGAAATAGTTAAAACACTGGAAAAGCTGAACAGTCATGGAAAGTGGAAATGGCTGCTTCACTACAAAGAAAGTAAAAAACTAAAAGAAGACATAAGGTAACTGTCAGCACGGATCTGTCAAGAACAAATTGTGCCAAACCACCAGCTTTCTTTCACAGGGTAACAAACCTTGTAGATGGGGGGAAGCGGTAGATGTGGTAGATGTTGATTTTAGTAAGTGTTTTGATACTGTCTTACATGACCTTTTCATAAACAAACTAGGGAAATACAACCTAGATGGAGCTACTATAAGATGGGTGCAAAACTGGTTGGAAAACCATTCCCAGAGTGTGGTTCACAGTCAAGCTGGAAGGGCATAATGAGTGGGGTCCCGCAGCAAGGGATCAGTTCTGGGTCCAATTCTGTTCAGTATTTTTCATCAGTGATTTAGATAATGGCACAGAGAGTACACTTATAAAGTTGGCAGACAATACCAAGCTGGGAGGGGTTGCAAGTGCTTTGGAGGATAGGATTAAAATTCAGAATGATCTGGAGAAATGGTCTGAAGTAAATAAGATGAAATGCAATAAGGAGAAATGAACAGTACTCCATTAAGGAAGGAACAATCAGTTGCACACATACAAAATGGGCAATGACTGCCTAGGAAGGAGGACTGTGGAAAGGGATCTGGGGGTCATAGTGGATCACAAGCTAAATATGCGTCAACAGTGTAACACTGTTGCAAAAAAAGCAAACATCATTCTGGGCTGTATTAGCAGGAGTGTTGTAAGCAAGACAGGAGAAGTAATTCTTCTGCTCTACACTGCACTGCTTAGGCCTCAGCTGGAGTATTGTGTCCGGTTCTGGGCGCCACATTTCAGGAAAGATGTGGAGAAATTGGAGAGAGTCCAGAGAAGAGCGACACAAATGATTAAAGGTCTAGAAAACATGACATATGAGGGAAGATTGAAAAAACTGGGTTTGTTTAGTCTGGAGAAGAGAAGACTGTTACAAGTAGGAGGGAAGTAAATGGTTCTTGTTAACCTCTGCGAATAGAACAAGAAGCAATGGGCTTAAATTGCAGCAAGGGAGGTTTAGGTTGGACATTAGGAAAAACTTCCTGTCAGATTTCAGAGTGGTAGCCATGTTAGTCTGTATCAGCAAAAAAACCGAGGAGTACTTGTGGCACCTTAGAGACTAACAAATTTATTTGAGCATAAGCTTTTGTGGGCCCAAACCCACTTCATTGGATGCATGCAGTAGAAAATACAGTAGGAAGATATATATATATATATACACACAGAGAACGTGAAAAAATGGGTGTTGCCATACCAACTGTAAGGAGACCAATTAATTAAGGTGGGCTATTATCAGCAGGAGAAAAAAAGCCTTTTGTAGTGATAATCAGGATGGCCCATTTCCAACTGTTGACAAGAAGGTGTGAGTAACAGTAGGGGGGAAAAATTAGCACGGAGAAATAGTTTTACTTTGCGTACTGACCCAGTCTTTCTTCAAGCCTAATTGAATGGTGTCCAGTTTGCAAATTAATTCCAATTCTGCAGTCTCTTGTTGGAGTCTGTTTTTGAAGTTTTTTTGCTGGAGAATTGCAACTTTTAGGTCTGAAATTGAGTGACTGGGGAGGTTGAAGTGTTCTCCAACTGGTTTTTGAATGTTATAATTCTTGACGTCTGATTTGTGTCCATTTATTCTTTTGCGTAGAGATTGTCCAATTTGGCCAATGTACATGGCAGAGGAGCATTGTTGGCAACCTTGGTACATTGGCCAAACTGGACAATCTCTACACAAAAGAATAAAGAATAGCTCACCTTAATGAATTGGTACTCCTCGGTTTTCTAACTGTCAGGGTGGTTAAGCACTGGAACAAATTGCCCAGGGAGGTGGTGGAATCTCCATCATTGGAGATTTTTAAGAGCAGGTTAGACAAATACCTGCCAGGGATGGTCTAGATAATACTTAGTCCTGCCTTGAGTGCAGGGGACTGGAGCTCTCGAGGTCCCTTCCAGTCCTGCAATTCTGTGATTCTAAAGTAATGACAGCATTGGCTGGCTGGTTTCCCAGGGCTTGTCTACACAGTGCTGCAGTGTGGACTACAGAGGTGTGATTTCTAGAGCATTCTGCCCTATGTAGCCTCTGCTGGCACGAACTACAAGATCTCTCATTTGTGTTTCAAACAGGACTACATTAATGCACATTAAGTACCTTTAAGACCACGCCAGCAGGGTCTATGGAGAAGTCTGAGCACAATATGTTAGAGTGCTCCAGAAATCACACCCCCTTGTAGACCAGGCCCCATCAGATTCATTTAGCTTCCAGCCCTTCGTCAGTTGCATGAGTAATACATCCTGACATCACAATCTTCAGAAAGTCCAGTATGGACTGATCGGGCTAGTTAAGCATCTGAAACTTTGTCTTGGTCCCTTATTGGACTGATTAGAGGGTTTTAAGTTCTGCTCATGTTACTTTTTGTTTACCTGAGCAATTTTTTGTTAGACAAGGACCAGTTCCAGCAAGGTTATAATTAAAATCTGAAATCCAGACGATCTATAAATCAAGTAAAAGTTACAAAAAATCATCTGATCCAGGTCAGCAAAAAAGCTTCTTTAATCTGTTAACCTTGGGGAGTGTGAAAAAAGGCCTCAATCAGTGAAACCACACACACAACAGTGGTGAAAGAGATTATGCTTGCCAAGTCAAGCCCTCTGGAGTTAGAAAATGCCAGAATTAAGGTTGTTTGTGCATATTCATGATAGTCTTTAATTAAATGATCACATACTATCTTTCCACCGGACACCTGCCTCATTCAGTGCATATACGAACTGTGCAGCTACACTGAAAACAAAGGTGTGTTGTATAGGCAATTAAAAAGCTACTCATGTTGTACTGGACTTGTTGGCATGGGGCCAGATCCTGAAGTCCTTACTGTGCAAAACTCCCATTGAAATCATTGGGAGTGGTATCTGTGTAAGGACTTTAATATTTGGTTTATTGAGGGCTGTTTGGAGTGGGTTGTGGGTTTTCCAATTGATATTAAAAAGGAAATTATTAATTTTACAAATTTCCATTAAGCAGTTTC